CATATCTCTCTTATATATATATATATATATATATATATATATATATATATATAATTAGCACAACCTGAAAACAGTTTAAATATATTTTTTTCTGAGACTTGAGGTTACTCTGGTCTTTTTTCATATAAAAAACAACAACAGCAATAAAAAAAACACACATTTTGAGTTAAAAGTCTCCATTTGCTCTCGATACTGTCTAGGTGAAACAGTTGAAACTAGATTGTGCTAATAACATTTATTTTTAAGCACAACCTGATAACAGCTGAAATATATATTTTTCTGAAACTTGTGGTTACTTGGGTCATTTTCTTATTTAAAAATAAAACATTTTTGAGTAAAAAGTCTCCATTTGCTCTCTTTACTGTCTAGGAGAAACAGTTGAAACATTACTAAAACTATAATGAGTCACATGTCACCTTTTTCTATTTTTGAGTAATGAAAACGTTTGTATCCATCTTTGAGAACAGAAACATTTGACTTTTCATGTATTTATTTGTTGAAAGTGAACTAAAACATCAGAGGCGCTGGATGAGTCAGACAGATGTAAGTGGCCCCGATGAATCAGACTTAAACTTTAGTTTCAAACACAGACAGACAGAAATCAACTCAGGCTAGCTCATTTTTTAGATCTTTGTTTGGATGCATCAAGAGAATACGGAGTTAAATGTCTGCTGATATTCTATGAATTAATAAATGTATGTCAAAGCAAACTCACCATGACCGTAACCCTTGAATTCAGGAGACGAAGCACGAGTGATTTCAGACAAGTCAAGTGTGGAAATGCTGATTTTATATATATCACCCCATTCCCCACCTCTGACTGTCTATAAATACATCCTCATGCGCTTAACCAGGTAGCCATTTGTCGACTTCATAAGTTATTATAAGAATCCTGATTAAAGGGGTTTAGTACAGGAGCCAGTGGGCTTCAACTCAGGGCAAATGACAGTTGTTGGAATATAGCTAGAACTTTCCTATAGCTTAGAATGTATGATTGACAGTGGCATTTATGTCTATTAATACGTCTTTGTAGGTTAATTTCATACTATTTAGTTGGAAACAAATGGTCTAGAAGCTCAAGTTTTGGATATTTAGACATGTAAGTGTCACTAGCTTCACTTTTATTCATCATTTTTGAAGTCTCAATGTTTTTATGTGATTTTTGGTGGATGTGTGAAGTCGGTTCTCCTCGAGTACACACAGGTATCCTAGCAGAGGAACCCTCAGTGTTATTTTATAATTGATATATTATTATACACTAAAAAATGCTGGGTTAAATACAACCCAGTGCTGGGTAAAATAGGGACAAACCCAGCAATTGGGCTGTTTTGACATATTTTAAATTTGTTTTTATATTTTTCTTTTTTTAAATATATTTTTATGTCGATATAGTTTTATTTCAGTTTAGTTTGAGTTATTTTAGTATATTGTTCAACTAAATGAAAAATAAATGAATGTTATAAATAATTAATAAATGAAAAAATAAATAAATGAGAAATAAATAAATATATTTTATATATTTTATTTTATTTCAGTTAACATTTATTGTGTTTAAAGTTTTTAGGGTTTTAGTTTTCGTTAACTACAATAACCCTGGTGTTTTTTTATTTTTATTTGGGTTTATTTATTTATGCATGTATGTATTTATTTATTTAAAAATATGTCTATATAGTTTTTAATTTTTATTTTAGTTTTAGTTTGAGTTATTTTAGTGCAATTTAAACTAAATTAAAATGAGAATTGTTGCCTTGAAAACTAGCAAGTATCTTTATTAATTTATTCATTTTATTTCAAGTAACAATTTTTTATGGGCTTAGTTAATCAAATTTAAATACCCTGGAGTTTTTGTCATGCATCAGTGTTTTTTAATGTCTATATAGTTTTTTTTTTCATTATTTATTATTTCAGTTTGCCTTGACAACTAGCAAGAAACTTCATTTCAAGTAACAACAGTTTTATGCTTTTAGTTTTAACTAAAATAACCCTGGTGCAGAGAATCACTTTAACTAACATTCGATGTTATCAGGATGACCTCTGCTTGACCTCTCAAACTCAAACCCTGCAGTATGCACTAAAATTAGGTTATATTACTACACCTTTAGTGGCAATTTGTCATGATGGATGAGCCAAGTTGACATCAGGAAAGACAGCTTACCCTTCCAAAGATGATCATGTGGTCAGTTACAACTCAAACAGCATTGCTTTAGTGAAACCAAACTAGAAGAATCACTTGTGTAAAGGTTTTCTAGGTTTCTGACAGAGTACTTGGCACAATAATGCTCACCTGTTTCGGTCATGGGATGCAAACTCATGCTAAACCTTTCCAGCCACCTGATGGCAGTCTCAACAAGCTTCCGTTTCAAGGCCTTTTGCACTCCGGAGTCGATCAATATATCAGAGTTCAGCAGCCCTCGTCAATATTCCGGGAATGATATTGACAAGTTTAGTCAAACATTCATGTGTATCTAGGCCACTGTGTACACGCCGTCAATCCAAACACACAAACGCACTCATCTAATGAGTTCTAATGGCTGCATCATCTCTTTTTGTGTTTAGTTTTCATTCCACATGATTAGTATTGCTGTTTTTAAGTCTCAGATATTATATGATTTGTATTTTTTTAAAATTTTTTTACAAAACCCTTAGAAACAATCTCAGAGGTTCGCCCTCAGAGGTTCGAAAAATCTCCCACTGGTTTCTGAACCCTCAAAATATCCACATATTTAGATTTGAACAAAAGTAATAAGTGTTGCTGCATCAGGCTTGTATATCAGAACTGATTTAAATTTCAAATTTAACAGTGAGCCATATCAAAACAAGGTATATTATTCTTTTCTTATAAGACCGATGCTGTTTTTCCCCCCCCCTGAAGCAATAAATAAAAAGCAATAAAACAGAAACTTTTAATAAGCACCTTTTATATTCCCGTAGGTGGCTTACAAAGTGCAAATACATTTCTACTTAAAAATAGACTTGCGTTTGGTTTTAATAGCGAAGGGGAGAATGACAGATGTGCTCACTTAGTAATTGCTCGCAAGTCCACAAGCCAGCGGAGCAGTTAACCTCCTAAACGCTTTCATTTCCAGACATTATTATACTGATATCTGTAATCTGGTGCATTTTGGATACATAAGTCGAACTGCTTTTCCTAAAGATGAAAATAAATCCATAGACTTTTTGTAATCACCTGAATAAAGTTTACCAAAAGGTTGCCTCTGTTAAAATGTCCATTTTCAATGCTTTTCTAAAAAGAATTGCAGCTAGTCATTATGCACAATGTGGTCACAGTGTGGTGTGATGCGTTATTTTAAGGGGAATCTCGGCTCTGTGTGGTCATCTTTGTGTTATTATAATGATAAAGATGTAATTTGGACAATATGTGCTATATTTAAAGCAACTCATCTCAGAAATAGTCCTCATTGTAAAGGCTACTCAGCCTCAGTCCAGTAGAAACGTCCTGTTCCACAAGAGGGAGCACGTGTTAACGTTTGAACACAACTGTCCATTCAGAATTTCAAATCATGCATTGATCGCACAGTCCCATTATAACATTTATGCATTTTTTTTTCTTAGAATGCAATGAGTTTATTATTCATCCGTCTTCAGACATAGAGCAAAAGAGCTTGTGCAATATAAAAACACACCTTTTGCATTTGCTCGCGTTAACAACCTCTCGAGTGTTCTAGATAAATAACGTTAACTGAATGTTTATTGAAATTCCACACATCTCTTTATCTCACGTAACTAAGCGCATAGACTAAACTTGCACTTTTCGTGCATTTCTTCACTAATATTTAGCACGTTTAACTTTTGTTTTGTTTAGGATGTTACCGTTCACATCTAAGTATTATAAAAAAAAAAAAAGCCCAATAACAGTTTTAATAGGCGTAAGCATTATTCTATCACGCTTATCTTCGTGCACTTCATTAGTCAAGGACACTATCAAAATCCACATTCACTCTTTTCACTTCAAACACAAAAGCTTTCAACCATTCAGTGTTTATTCTATTCGCGCGACTCTTTCAGTGCATTTATGGCATGCATTACGCATTATTGACCTAAAGTTGCAAATCTCATTATGTGGGGCTCATTAATGATATGTAACGATTTCGCAGCTTTACGCATCAAACATCTGGCGATGCGCATTGGTCGCTCGTTGTTCTCCTTCCACTTCCCAGACGTTATTGATCAACCCGTTACGTCAGTATTGATAACTTTACCAAACCCAAAATCAAGTGCAATCCCTGGAGCAGCACTAATGCATCTATATGCATCTATATTCTGTTCATATCGCATCCACCGGCTCTGGCGCGCTGCGCGTCCCGTCTAGTTTTCCACAACTGTTATTTTCCTAACATTTTTTTTTCCATGTGGAGTGTAATCGTCAACGCTGTTTAACGGGGGGAATCCAGCCCATATATTTATTGTAGCCGCTCTTGAATATTGTGCTCAAGATGGCCGCCGATGTGGGATCGATGTTTCAATATTGGAAGAAATTTGATCTCCGGCGGCTTCAGGTTGGTCTTATTTCTCACCTTTTTTACACGACGCGATCCTATAGGCGATAATGCACCGTGCATTTTCTCTTTTGGGGACTTTAGAGGGTCGGGATGGTGGTGTTGCATTGATAGTTATTAGTAATTGATCCTCTTCTGCCTTTTGTTCGGTTCAATCATTGATCAGGAGCGCGTAAGAGCAGCGGCTGCAGCCTCGCGCACACTAACGCGCTTTAACAGCACGTTTAAGGCTATGTTAACGCTTCTTTCACGAGCTTTGTTGGAAACGGAAACTTTTAATGCCTTTCCGAGTTGTGGACTTTAACTTTTTATCAGCCTGATGTGTTTTATTCTAATAGAAATACGGAACGGTGAGGCGCGCGCGGCTCGTTCTGTAAAGTGCCGGTGTGTGATTCACCTCAGACTTGATCAAATCAACAGCTCGTGTGTTTTAGAACTTTAATGTTGATTTTGTTTATCCATCTCTCGCGTTTTGACTTTATTAGTGTGCTTCAGTAATTATGACGCGGAGCGTAATGAACGTCGCACCGTCAGAGTTTCTGTTTAGGAAAGTTGATGTATTTATTATTGACGTCTTTATCTATTGTGACAACTTGATAGTACTTAACTTAATAATAAGTATTCGTGTTATAAAATGTTAGGTTAATGCATGCATAAGCTCATATGTTAACGCAATGCCTTGCATGCGGTCTTTGTAAGCTGTGCATATTGTAATTCATTAAGAGTAGAAAAATAAGTTTTATTTTAAAATACGATGGCTTGAAATCGACTTAAGAAGTAAACATAGGATCGACTCTGTTTAAGATCAAAATGTAACCTTGCTTATGAAGTTGGTGTGGCTATTATAATGCTTTGGCATGTAAATTGACTCCGGTTCAATGTCAAATGTGAATGTCCAAGATGGTTAAAAGAAAGAAATCTTTGAAAAAAAAATCTAGTTTCAGACATATGGGTCATGTTTTTAAAAATGCAATCTTTGCATCTATTACGTTTTTGAAAACCTTTTTCTGGAAAACCACATTCTACTTTTTAAAAATACATTTTATATATATAAACATGTGGTGTAAAAATGTTAAATTTTTACATGTTTTCTGTATTCTATTATTCTATAGCTGTTTATATATTGATATAGAATACAGAAAATATTTTCGAATATTTAAATGAAAAAATAAAATCATTGACCCCTTGCTATTGTTAGTATTTCCATGTGCAATATTGCTGCACACAATAGCTACTATGTATCAGCTTGACGTATTTAAACACACACTCCGGTTTCGTTCCAACCACAGTGTGTACGCTCCATCCACACCGCTTGCGACGCGTCAAACCCAGAACGCTCGCTGACTGTTCGCGCTTCTCGGACTGTGTAATTGCATTCCCTGCTAATGTTTGTAAATCAGCCTCGGCCAGCGCAAGGGCAGAGACTCAGCCCTATGATTGATGTTCTGTAACATAAGAAATGACAAGAGCATGCCAAGCCAAGCCGGAGAGGAATCAGATCTGTCTGCGTGTGTGTGTGTTTGTGTGTGTGGCCGATTGTTATTCAAGCCTTTCCAAAGAAGGGCTGCTCGTGTAGGCTGTTGTTGGAGGGTCTCTCATGTTTTTGGTTTATTCTGAATACAGACAGACGACACGTCCATACTGAGGTTATCCAAACCCTGAACCTCTTCATGGACAGGGAGGGCAAACATGTTTTCATGGAGGGCTCATCTGGACAAATATCAGATGGTTATTGTCTGGACTGTGCTCTGAATATTTCTGCTAGACTGATAAATCATAAGAGTAACCGGATGTTAAAGTGTAAGAATTAGTCACTGACAAACACATCGATCGATTGCTAATCTGAATATTGAACGTTTGTTTGGTATCCCTCACATTGCCTACAGTGGCCTTTAGAGGACAGGAGGACAAAGAGGTTTTGTGAATTAGTTGATCTTTTTGTTTTAAATACTGAGCAAGTTGTTAAATGACAGCTCTTTTCATTAGCATTGTTTAATCAGCTTTGAGTTAAACAGTCAAAATCCGCACCAGCGGAGAGCGCACAGTGCTGTGTTATTTCCCATGAATCTGCTGGGCTCGATATATGAATCACACACATTTGCACATCAGAGTTTTTCTTTGTTTCTGGAGTTAGTCTAGGTCACACCTGGTTCAGGTTATTGATGTGCTCACCTGCAGCCTGTGACAGTTCAAGTCGTATTTAATGCGACGTGAATGCAGCCGCCGAATGCTTCCACAGCATCTTTCATCTCAAAACAGGCTCGCATGTGGGTGGAAGCTAAAGAATATTGTGTTATTGAACCTTTTGTGGCCAATTCCACATCCAGTATGTGATTTTAGTTTGTGGAAGCTATTTATTGAGACCTAATGCTTGTGAGAGTAAGCAAAAATGTCTACGGAATCCTAAGTGCACATTTTGTTCAGTTTTATGTGTAAATATGTGCCATATAACAGTTGCATTAGTCATTTGGCTCATTCCATATGGATGCATTTTGTAGATTGCATTCATTGTGTTTAAAACGCTTAAAATGCGTTGATTATGAGCATAGGTGAAGCTCTTTGCTCACAAAACATCCGCCTGTAAGTTATTTTGCCTCATTTCACAACAGAAGCAAAGCTATAAATATGAAATTCTGAGAAAATATTCTTAGCTTAGTAGTTGTTATGTTTGTTGCTATCTGGTACGCATGCATACTTCAGTTTTATTTGTAAATATGTGTCGTTTAACAGTTGCATTAGTAATTTTTTCCCCCATTCCATATAGTTCTTTTGCATTTTGCAGATTTCAATGATTGTTTTAAAACTAAATATGCATTGATTAATGGGTTGCAAGTCATAAAATGCACATAAGATGTTATTTATGAAGCTGTTTATTCTTCCTCCTGCTACAACACAAGAAAAGCTATAAATATGAAATTCAGAGGAAGCACTGTCAGCTCACATTAAGTCTGTAGTCTTGAGAGTTGTTAAGTTTGCTGTTATCTGGTGTGCATGCATATTTGGGACATGTTAACTTTTGATATATTTGAGACTTCAATTTTATGTTCATATGTGTCATTTAACAGGTGCATTAGCCATTTCTCCATTCCATATGGATCCGTTTTGCACTGATTGTGTTTAAAACTCTTAAAAATGCATTGATTAATGAGTTGCAAGACCACTAGTTAGGCATGAAATGTGCATAGATGTGCATAGATGTTTGCATCCACCTGAAAGTTATTTTCCCTCGTGTTACAATAAAGTATGAACAGAAACAAAGCTATAAATATGAAATTCAGGCATGTAGTCGTTAGAGTTATGTATGTTGTTATCTGGCGCGCATGCATATTTGGGACATGTTAACTTTTTAAATATTCACGAGACATCGCTGTTAACTCATTTATGAATCTAGTCAGATGCTGTTTATTGCATGCTGTGATGGTCTTTGTTATTCTCCCGTGTGGCCCCTGTGGGACGTCGTGTCCACAGCATCCCCCGAGGGCCCCTCACCCACTCTTGAACTTGGACTCCAGCGAGATCCATATATCGGGACGGGTGAAAATGAAATAATGGAAAATATTCAGCACATCTGCAGCACCATTTATGTGTCTAAAACTTCAGGTGTATTAAAGCTTCGAGTTCAAATGCTTCTTCCCGGAAGATCATTTTTATTCCTCTAACCCCAGACCCCCCCTGAACAGAGCGCGGCTGCTTGTATTGACCAGCGGACGAATAAGTTCAGGAGAGGGGGGTATCTGCAACTGACAGTTGATTTATGACCCTCTTTGTCTGTGTTGGTCTGTAGCGGAGCATCTGGCCGTGTCAGATGATGTTTTCGCTGGGGTCTGTGGCTTATGGCTGTCGCTTTGGTTGCTCTCAAATTACATCATTTCATACAGCAGTTCCTGTATTGCCATTAATCCTCAGAGGTGTTTCAGTGATATTCCCTCATGAACGAGCCTTGTGTTCCGGTCTCAATGGGAATTCTTCATAAGAGGGAATATTTGACATCCTCCTGTCTTGATATAAGGCATAGCGAAAAGGGTTTTTTAGTGGTTTGTGGTGATATTCTCTCACTAAAATGTTTAAATGAAGAGACGAACATCATGCATGTGGTAAAATGAGCAATTGTGGTAACACTTTACAATAAGGTTCCATTTGTTAACTATATTTAATGCATTAACTAACATTAACAATGAGCAGTGTTTAACAGTATTTATTAATCTTTGTTAACATCCGTTAATAAAAATTCAACTCTTCATTGTTAGTTCATGTTCGCTCAGGTCCATTAAATAACATTAATAGATGTTAACATAAATAACATTAACTTTTGATTTTAATAATGTATTAGTAAATGTTGAAATCAACATTAAGATTAATAAATGCTTTAGAAGTATTTTTCATTGTTAGTTTATATTAAATAATGTAGTTAACCTATTGGAAAGTGTTACCAAAATGGTTTTGCAACTAGGGTTGTTTTTTTAAAATCATTTTATTGTAATTTATAATATAAAAAATAAAGAAATAGTTGTAATAATGTAATAATTATAGTAATAATAATGTTATATATATATATATATATATATATTATAAATAATATATTAGTGCTGCCATTTTTATTTTTTTATTTTTTTATTTATTTATTTTTTTTTCCAGCTCTGTTTCCGTTAACTTCTTAGAAAATAATTTGTTGCTGCTAGTATCTTCTGTAAATTTTAATGACCTTGTTTGAGACTTGTTATACTGTGAACTGAAGATGAGAACGACACTGAATGATGTTCCTCATTTAATCTGTTTCCTAAGCGATAGGACACGTCCTCGTAAGAACGGACGCCGGGGTCTTCTAACCTCATAAAAGAGATGACACAGAAATAGACGGGCTACAGTTTTGGTGACCTTGGTTTCCACTGGGCTCAGGTCACATGGCCGTTGCCGTGGTAATAATTCACACCAGCCAGATGGCATTTCCGTGGGCGCTCGTGGAAAGGACAGGCCAAAAGGTCCCCGCTAGTCTCTTTTAG